ACACTGTCATTCCAGCATCGGGTGCTCACAAGACCTGCAACTTATGCCCACCTGTGGCTTATTTAGAAATTGCTTTGAGGCAGGTGTGCAACTTTTAATTGATGGAGAGGTGAAATTAATTTGTTGCTCTTACTAAAAACAGCTTTGGTTGGAAGGTGCCCCAAGTAGCGTTCTTTGAAAGTTGGTAAACACAGACTTGGGCACATCAGTTCCATCTCTCCTTTCGCAAGAAGACTGCCTGCAGTGATGAATGAACACATCACAGAAAAACAAAGTGAGTTTGTTTCGGGGCTTTTTTCCACATTTCTTTTTAAAAGTTCAGTATTGTATTTTTAGATGTTTACACTGCTGGTGGCTTTTACTTTGGTTTTATACTTCTAAAAGTTTTATACTATGTTTTAGCATGTCGTATTTTATGGTTTGAACTTTTGTGAACTGCCCAGAGAGTTTTGGCTGGTGGTCAGTGAGGAAATATAATAGGGTCAGGATGTACTGGAGTGAGTAGCAGGGCTAGTCAGAATGACTAGATTATTTTTCTCATACGCACCTACACGCAAGTTTTATGGTGCCTTGGGACAGGCAGCTGCCTGCATTTCTACCCATCAAAAGACGCTCCACAGCTGCTCCAACTTTTCCCCTTTTTTTGCAGTTAGGGGGCAAAAGGTCAGAAGAGGTGGGCCAATATGGGAGGGTCACAGATGGAAGCAACATGGCCTGAATCTTCTTTCAAGCTCCATGAATGAGGCAAGATGGTGGCCCACTGTGGCCATTTTGGGGTTGATATGCTTTTTGGCTCTGTAATATACTTCTAATTGGCTTTTAATCTACAGCGCTTGGCTTCTAATTGGTTGCTTTCTAATCTATAGCGATGGTGGGATATAGACCACAAGGTGAGACGCTGAGGTTGGGGGAAGATATGCTTCTTCTAGACACAGTCTGGTGGCTCGTAAAATCAGATATGGCACCTCTGCGTAACATCCCACGTGGTTGCGAGAGATCCCAGAGAGAAGAGAGATTTGCCAGCATCAAAATTAATTTGGTTCCAACCTACCCTGTTGACTTCCGTGGAGTCTGCGTGGCATGTTGCCCCAGGACTGAGCCACGACGCTGCTTGTTAAGCACAGGAGAGGTGGTCCCTTTCCATGCGGGGCTCGAAGAAGTGATCCACCCTGATCTTTCTCTCACCGGGCAATTAATGGGAGATTAAGATCTGGGGGTTCATTGTGTCTTTTCTTCGCCATTTTGGGAAGGCAGAAATGCTTCTGCAGTAGCTGAGGAGGGAAGGAAAAGCACTGGCTCCATTTTTTCAGCTTGTGGGGAGTTTTGTGGATCAAAATGCTCCTGTGTCATTTCTCACTTGGGTCCTTCAGCTCCATCGCCCTGAAACTGCTAATTCTGTCCCACACCACCCAATTAAATTTATTCAGTAGTTTCCACGTTTCTGATAATGTGGAAATTTCTGGAAAATGGACATCTCCCATTCCCTGTGAATCGAAAAGATTCGTCGCTCTCCTTGCTGGGATGCAGCTAGATGCAACCCTCACTTGGACATAAAGTCCCCTTCGAGGTACGTGGCAGACTCTGCTGCCGAGGCGCTGAGACCTCCCGCAAGCCCAGGCTGAATCAGCCCGCATTCGGACCTGGGCTGATCGGCGAGCCTCGGAGCCACCAGACTGGGCTGCTTCGGTCTGGGGAGTCCGGAGCGGGTTCAGGCCGAGGCAGCAGCTCGCGCCACCTCGGGGGCATTTGCTCTGGGGCTAACGCACGTGCTGCCCCACGGTGGCTCGAGGATGCCCCCCCGCCCCCACAGACCGGCACGGCCGCACTCGCTTTGTTTTGCTCGCCTCTCCCGCCCCTTTCCTTCGCGGGCTCCGCGCCGGGGATCGCCTCCCCGCTTGCGCGGCGGAATTGCGCGCGCGTGCTGGGCGGGCGCGCCTCGGCCCCGCAACAGGTCAGACCCCCGAGGGCCCGGCGCGCACCTGCGCGGGTGCTGGCGGGACCTGCGCCGCTGGGAGCCTTTGTCCGACTTCGGGGCGCGGGGCGCGGCGGGGGCGCGGGGCGCGGCGGGGGCGCGGGGCAGCTCCGCCTTTCTCCCGAGAGTTTGAGCTACGGCAGGTGCCTGCGAGGAGGCGGAGCGGCGGGCGAAGAGCGGCGGGGGGGCGCCGCGTTTCTCCCTCCGGCCGCCGCCGCGCCGCCGCCGCCGCCTCCATATTTGATCAGGGCAAAGGGAAAGCGCTGTCCAGCAGCGGCCGAGGCGACCTCGGAGCTGCCCCGCGCGGTCCCGCCCCGCCCAGCTGCCCGCACTTTCCGCTCGGCTCCGCGCAACTTTCCCGGGAGGCGCTCCAGAGCCCCGCGCCACGGCGCTCGTCCGCCGAGCCCCTGACCCCGCAGCAGCCTTGCAGCAGCCGCCCGCGCCCCCCGACCTATCGCGACCGGCCCGCCGCGCGCCCCCGCCTCTTTCCGGCCGAGGATCCCGCTGCCCGCGAGCTTGGGGAGGGGGTCGCAAAGGGGATGAAGCCAAGGGGGGTGCTCGGGGCGGACGGCTGCTTCTGGCTTATGGCTTCCCCGCGCCCCCGGGCTCTGAGTCCCGCGGGAGGGCGCTTGCTACCTCCATCTCTTCCCCAGCGGCGCTGCGACTGGAGTGGCGGAGGAGATGCTTGGGCCCCCGCTGGGGGCATGTCTGGTGACGGAAAGGGGAGGCTCGGCCCGGTACTTTCAGAAGTCGGAGCGCACCCGAGGGAGTGCCTCTGAGCACGTGCAGAGCGCCTCCCTCGCTGCTAGCAGCCGGGCGCAGCCCTTCCCGCCGCAGAAGGGCCAGCGGGGCGCACGCCCGGCCGCCTCGCCATTGTCCAGCCACGCGCGCGGACGCCTCCCCCGCGGCAGGGCGGCCACGCGCGTCAAGCCGCCCGGCGGGCCCGCCCGCCCCCGCGAAAGTCGCGCTCCCCGCCCCCAAGTGTCGCGCGGGGCCGGGGCGCTGCAGGGCGAGAAGCCGGCAGGTGAGCCTCGGCCCCGTCCCGCGCGTCCGGCCGTGCCGCCACCGCACCGCCCGGCCCGGCACGGCCCGGCACGGCGCCGCCTCGG